ATGTTTTTCGAATATCAGCGCATTTGTTCAATGACTCACAATACCAAATGTTTGAATTTGTTTAGAAGAAAAAAACGTAACCTTTGTTTTTCATATAAAAATAACATACATCTTTCGGAATGATTTGTGATTCATATCCTCAAGGTAAAAACACGTGTATTTTGCTATTAAATGCTCTTTGAACGAATCCTGTATATTGCTCAATAAACTAGTAGTGATGGCCGGAAAACACAGGTGTTTTGGGATAAACAAAAAAAAACTACTTGACCAATACTCTCCAATTTTGCTGTTGTTATTTAGAAGTATGAATCCTACGGATTTGAAGAATTTCGAGTAGTTGCGTGAAATTATCTTCGCATTACCAACAAGTGCCAAAACCTGCATTTTGCCTCGTTTTTTGGCCATAACATTTTTGATATTAGTTGGATCTTTTTACGTGTGACCACATTTTGTAGGTCTCATAAATACCTAAAAATCTTATATGAAAAGTTTTTTTGTTCCTGTCAACACTTTCAATTGAATCCCAAAAAACACGTCTTCTCATTCTTTGTTGTCAAATAAAAAGTTTTCCCACAAAAATTGGTGTACCCATTTTATGCGTCCATATTTTAAATACCCCATTGGACAACTAGCACCAATAAAACCAGACTTTACAATTATTTTGGACAAATTTGCTAATTTGATTAGACTAATTAGCAGTCAGTTTACCAGAAGTGACGAGGTACTAGAAACGATTTAGCTATACCTACAATACCGTGTGGCTTTTATACAAACTCGGTAGGAGGGTATGGCAACCGTGCAAATTCAAAATTGCAAAAAAACATAAAATTTAATACACAGGAATATCCTGATTAACAATTTCAAAACTTCAGATCAAACGACACACCCCAGAAGAAGTACAAAAGCCTGATAACCATTTAATTTTATTTGGTAGAAAATAAAGCACTAGTCGTCATAACCATTTTACTTCTAATATAACAATTGAAAGTAACACAATTGCTTATTTGCTCATTCTTATGATGTGAACATTGTGAACCATGATTTTTGATGCATTCCATGCCCTGCCTGACTGCCTGTTGTTGTATTTTGTAGTAGTGGGTTTTAAGGATATTGCTTTCCATTTTCTTAAACAATTCATACATTTTGCAAATCAAATGCTAATTGTAAGTTGTTTCCTCGTATAATAAACCAGCTCGTTTGTCTAGGGTCTCTGGTTGTATCACTTCATATGACATACCATAAGAAAGAGCGGAAGTGAAAATACAAAATATTTTTTGGAATCCTAATTCATTTTTGAACAAATCAGATTTTTAGCGATTTGGTTTTTATTTAAGGAGGAAACAGTGGCATACCAATTTTGTCCAAAAAATACACTGTAAAACGTAGAAAAAACTGACAAAATGTCATCTTGCAGACTAGGTGGTTTTTAGTGTGTAAATAGTTCATTCCCCGTTTGCTTGCCATGATCGCTGTTCGCTGACGTTTAAGAAACACGTACAGGTTTAAAACGAGTTCACAACAAGTGTACAACAGCTTGTGCTAAGTTAACATCTTCTAGAAAACCTAAGTTTTGACACAAAAAACCTACGAAATGTCAAAAAAAAACGAAGAACTGTAATTTTTCAGAATACATAATACGAGTACTCGTGCGGGTGCCACTAGTGGAAATAAGTGTATATTGGTGGTTGACAAGTCGCATCATCGAACGTAAACAAGCCGCTGAGACAAAACTGTTGCTAGTACTATGACGCACAGGTTTCAGAATTCTGTTTTTGACAAAGGAATAAAAAATATGCCAATCTCAAGAAGTAGGAAGATACATAAGAATTTCAATGACAATGGAGCTTGATGAAGATGAGACATTTTTTTCGAGGTCAAATGAGTGAGTGGCTCACAATCAGTTGCTTCAATAAGTAGTGAAAAAAACGCAACCTTACGAATGGCTGGGATGTTCCAGGATGGTTATTGTTGTTGGACGATTTGAGGGAAGGTGCAATGATAGTGTTATTCTAAATCTGTACCCAGAGCCAGACTAGGTAAAGTCCATTTTTGTCAAAAATGAGTTTAATATGTTAATCTTATGATAATATTGTGAAATTTCATTTGATACATGCAGCGTCCATCTATCTTTAATAATAAGGAAGTTACGAATTTTTAACTCATATCAAGTCGTATTCAATACAATGCAAGAAAAATATTTCATATACAATTTTCTCAAAACTACTTATTTGGACTTAACCTAGTCTGGCTCTGAGGTACAGAAATGTATTAAGTATAATAATTATACTATTGCACCTATGAATATTGCAACTAAATATTTGAAAATAAAACTTATTTAAATCGTAATATATTTATAGCTAGATAACACGAGAACCCTTTGCGATAACCTAACCCAATTGCTCAGTTCTAAGTACTCAATTCCATTGGCAGTGGAGAGCTCGTTTGAAACAATTCCCAAATGAGAAACGCGAGGGAATGCTTTTGATCAGTTCGGTACCGGTCAGTATTGAGAAGCGAACGTAATCCTGGTCAATCTGCTGTTTTCTAAGATATAATACGAGATTTTTTTATTAGCTGTACATTATACATTGAAAGATCGTGACCTGCCCGTTTATCTTGTCAATTACTCATCTCGTTTTTTCAGCTCATTAATAATATCAACCATTTAAATGCATCTTACTTAACATAGCTTTTATGGTATATGTTTTATGTTTTTAATCCAAACAGGATAGTCAATTGTTTGATGTAATTGCAAGAACAGGAATTTTGATGAACGTTTTCTAGGAACTGTAATAAACTGAGGTATGTACGTCATGAACATTGGAAAATATAAATATCTATGATTAGGATCAATTAAGATCATGGCTGTTAGTCAGTGGATATTATTAGATGTTTATGATAGTTCATGTACAAATAAAATTCTGTAGTGTTAAAGGGAATCGTGCACATTGTTCTATGGTCATCCATGCCTGTTATTGGACATGGACACAATGTTCTGTACGGTCTGAAATATTAGAAAATACTCTCTGGTTGCGATGTGAATAGCTCAGGTATTCTTAATAAACAGGGATATGTTATATAAAGCAAAAAAGCGAAAGTAAATATTTATTAACGGTATAGCGCATGAACAATTCTACTTGAAACCTAATTTTTGAGGGTGAAAAATACGAAAAATTGTCTTCATTAAACAGCAGCAATGGTATAATACGTGATTTTGTAAATAGTGGGACACCTTGCTTGAATTCTATACGTTTTTTCAAAATGTGTAGTTGTTGTGACTCGAGCAGATAGTAGATAAAACTCAAAGTTAAACCTTCAGCTGGACCTTTGCAGTATTCATCCAAAAATTCGCTTTGTATCCAATATTTTTCACTTTACTTCCCACGACTACCGGGAAGTATTGTAATCACCAATATTTTCGGAAATGAAATATAATGTTTTTTGAATGTTATATATGTGACATGACCATCACCAAAAACCATGTCACTCATTTCCGTCGGTCTGTTTGCCAATCTTATAACCGTGCGAAGTACGCTCTGATGTCGATGAAATTTTTACACAGTTTTCCTACTATGTTAAGGACACAAAAGCATTGTAGTGTTTGAAAATCGGTCCAGTGGCGGCAGAGAAAAAGGCCTAAAACAAAAGGTTAAACTTCGTTTTTTGACGTTTCAGAGGATCCTGATCATTGTTGAACAAAATTTTGAGACAAAAAACTTGGAGGTGGAGGTTGTAAGGGGTTGAGCAGGCTTTATCTCAATTTGTTTTTAGCTGGTACATTTATAGGTTCCCAACATTGGTAATTCTAGGCACCTATTAGACATATTTCACACATCATAGATTTCTTGTACATTAGCCCTGAAAACTAAGAAAAATATTCTCGGTTGGCATATCTAACGGTCGCGGCAGCTGCTATCGTCGCGCCGTGCGCCGACCGTGATAAGTGTTTTAATATGGGCGTGGAATCACACGTATTTCTGCCGCGCAACAGCAAAGTTTTTTTTTTGTCGATCGGTTTCGCATTGGAAGTTATTCATTTGCCACAGATGTGTCAACAGCATAGTGTTTTCTATGATTTGACCGCGCTACCACGGTGCCACGTCTGGCCGAGTTAGGTATTGGGGAGAAGCGACATCGTATAGTCATCCTATTTGGCGCGTTCGGACTGCACACTCAAAGAAACAAGAAGTGGGCTGAAATAAATCAAAATTACCTGTCCATCTAAACTCACAACGATCAGGTACATGCACTTTCGCAACGCCGATGAATATAATATATTAACACTTATCGATCGATTATTCAGTTTAAACAGCTTTTGGAATTTCACGGAAACGTTCACCATCTTCTACAATTGCTTGGACTATATATAATACGAATTCCATCTGAAATGTCAACAACAACTGTCAAAACTGGCGACAAGCCTGATCGACTTGTAGTATGAACTTTCATCTTGACTACGCACTATCAGATTTTGAGTCAAACAAATCAATGACTTGCTCGTTCTACCTAGTTTGAATTCGTTGGTTCGAACTAATCAAACTGAGAGAAACGATCCATTGTAATAAGATTCGTATTATGCAAATCCAAATGAAGGTCCGACATTTTTAGCTCAACAAAGGGAGAACGTCGCAATTAGAAAAGACGTAACCAGCTTTATTTATCAATACAACTCTAAATTAACCGTCTAAATTAATTAACTGTCAGTTTGATCAAGGGTGCGTTTTTAAATCACTTGGTAATGTAATACCGTACATAGTAATGGAATGTAGATTGGCAGATGAAATTTTACTCTGGAATACTGTGAAACTTTATTTTTAGAACGCCTAAATTATTACAAAGTCATGTAATGACACTTGATGACAGCCGACTAATTTCTAACCACGTTTTTTGCGACCATTGTAATTAGTATGAGTATAGTGATACAGATTAGCATTTATCAGAAAAATATATGTTCTGCCAATTTTGAGCAGTTTTTGATAACCAAATAAAGTAATCAAACAATGAACCATGAGAATAGTAAGTGACAGAACTCTTATTCCCAAGGTTTTGAGCTCGGGAAGAAAAGCACACTTCTGAGGTTTCAGAAGGATTACGTTGTTCTATTTCCGAACGCAAGTAACATGTACGAACAATTACGAACGCTAAAATTGTTACAGAGTAGTACTAAGTACACTCTGTAACAATTTACGGACGCAGTCCTGTGCAAAAGAATACAGCTTTTAATGAAATTGCCAGAGAACGATTTTTTAACGGGGACAGTGTATTTTTTGCCAAGTGATCCTTGTTGTTTTCTCACAAACTAAAAACATTATTTATAGCCATTGAATACGGCATATAGCATTTCAACTCGTCACTAGATTTATTTTAATTTTTATACACTTTGTACCTTTGAAAAATGAATAGTTCTACCAGTGCAGGCGAAATGTTTCAGTTCACTAGCAGATTTTACCACTGCAGTTACCTTAAATGCTCGCGCTATTGGAAATCATACCCGGTGCAGTGCCACGAGATGTGCGGTGCTCTCGTCCGGGCGGTGTTGCCGGCTCAGGAGTAATCATAATGGTCTAGGTCTATTTGGTAATAATGGGTGTTTAATTTATAGTCTGGCACCGAAAAGAAATAGAGCAAAACACCCTGCACGCTACTGCTGGGGCGGCGGACTTTTGAACTGACAAAGCAGGTGCGCGCGTATGCCGCTGTTATTGAAGAGATGCCGCGGTGGCAGTGGCGTCCGATGTTTTGCTGGCCTCTTCCTTGTCGGTACCCGTGTATAGATCTATTTTCAGTCAACTGCGATGGGTTGTCTTTTGCATCCAAAGAATGAAGCAAGCCGAGTCTTAGTTGAGCCTTTGATAGATACATGCTTTTACGAGCTGTTGTGCGTAGCTCCAAGTAGCGCCGCATCATGCTTAAACCAAATTTTCTAAAGATCATTGGCTTGCATTTCTCTCAGCAAAAAAGTGTGTTGTTATCAAGTCATAACGGTCGCAAAATTTCTCTCAACATGCTCGGATGCTTCGTAAAAGTGGGAAACCCAGAATGGACCACATTGATCACACTAACAGCCGACATTTGAAAGAAATAATCTTCCAAAACTGAATTTCTAGAGTGTTTCTGGACAATAAAAATAATCCGACGAAGTTGATTATTTTTTATACTTATATAGTATAGTTGTCATCGAGTTACTGGTTATTATCATTTTTCTACTATCGAACATAGAGTTTATATGTTCCCATTGTTGACTTAAATTTTGTATAAAATGATTAACGTATCAACGTCCTATAATAAAGACGTGTCAAAATGAGACCGAGGTAATTTTCAAACTTTGCTGTAACCATACCAAAATTCAAATAATTTCGACCTCAATTTTGTAATGATCATTGGCTGGATAGCTGTTTTCTTTCGCAAATTCTATTGAGTTTTGATGAAGTTTTGACACACGGTTGTTTTTTGAGTTTCTGTTTTTTTAATCTTTTAATTGTTGTGGAATCGTAATTAAATAATGTTTGTCTATTTGTTATTGATATTTATATTTTGTAATTCATTCGTTATTTATAGGCTAGAATCGTTATTATTATTGTTATTTTTTCCAATTTGTTGTTCGTGTATAGGGATTGTATTAATTGATATTATTTTTGTTAATGTTACTTGATCTAATTTATTGTTATTTTGTAGTCTAAAATCGTTATTATTATTGATATTTTTCGTAATATATTGTTAGTTTATAATAACTTGTTTTTTTTAAACACAAACAAAAAACCTGAAGATACACTAAACAATGTACAAAATTAATCGATAAATGAGTCATATTCTATGCGATCTGACTAACCAAATTTGAACCACAATAAATTTTTTGAAAAGAAATGGGTGTACGTATTTCTCAAACTTAATAACTCCAAGCAGCTGTAGGTATAAAATTCCTTGTTTGAGTATATAACTCATGAATATCAATTTAAATGCGATTTAAATCTCTAGAAGATGACGTAAAAATATATAGGTGTTTTATTTAAAATAAGTGAGTGTTTCAGTTTAAATTTTCTATAAAAAAAAATAAGTTGATGCTCACCCTGGTGAAACTAGACACTCTGTATACACAAAAATATAATAAAATCAAACTTTGATCTAAGAAACTTTCGTATGTAACATGTTTCTGTATACATTGTGATTTATGAGATAAGGGAATGGGCCACCCTGTACGCGCAGAACAACTTGAATTATCAGAGCTCTATAGCTATCTAACTACTCGGCACGATGTCAACATTGAGCTTGATAACGACGAGCTGATAGGATTTTATAATTTCAGAATTATAAAGAGAATTTCCAGTCATATACGAAACAGTTGGAAATACTGTCACAGGTCAAATGACGATATTACGAAAGTAAAAACATTTGACAACCAGCAATTTGCTAAAGGCATTTTACTGGGAGAAAAGGCAGGAAACGGTCTTTATTATAGTTAAATTCAAAACAGCCGTCCAGTTGCTGCCACATCAAATTGCTGAAGAAAAAGTCGTTACATCAGTAAAATAAACGTTTGATTGATCCACACCATTTATGAACCCTGGGTGAGAGAGCACTGATACAGTCGCGGCCGCTTCACTCACTCTCCAATTTTGAATAGTGTCCGACCGAACTTTCGGTTTCGGCCAGTTTCGGTCCAAAGTCGGACTTTCAGTTTAGTTTCGGTTCCGGCACAAAGTCCGCCTAAACTGCAAGCGAAACCGAAACTACGTTCTTATCTTTTCTGGCGCCTTCGGGAAAATTTATTCAGACCAAAAGTCAAATTTGCTAGGGAAAAATGTTGAAAAATTGTTATTCATGTCATATAATATCAATGTTCAATTATGTTTGTTAGATTACGTTCTAATGGTCTGTTGCCCCCACAGTGAATTTGAGTTTTACAAGCTTACAGAACTCTAGGGATTTTTTTATGTAATTAAGATGGTAGGTAACTCATAATTTATTGGGTAATTCCCGTTCAGGCTCAATTTCAGGCAGAATATTCAAAACTGTTCAAATTAAATTTCCTAAAAAATGCTACAGTTACTAATCTCTTGGAAATAGTCTTTAAATAATTCTTGTAGAAAACCACTATTTATTAGTTCAAGGATACCCAAATCGTTCAAAATATCACCCTAAAATCTATTTTTGAAGACCAAAAATGTATTAGACGATATTTGTCCTCCAAAACTAAGTTGTCGACTAAACGGAGGTTTAATAGTATTGGTGCAAGTTGTTATTTTTGTTTTATTGCCCATTTTTTACCCTACCTTCCGCTACTCAGTTTTAAATTGCTGACATTCACCTATTTTAGAAGTACTATACGTATATTTAGTCGATATTCGTTGAAGAATAAGCATTGTGTCATTTCATTTATGACTACAAAGAATTCGTTAAGAAGAATTTTGTACTCCAACGACAAAAGTCAGTGATCTAGTTTGACTTACAAACCAGGTGATTTATGTAGAGTTTTTTATTTAAAACGTATACTTTTTCGCTAGTTTGAGAGATATGAAGAAATCGACAAGGTATTTTCATTAGATCCATTACTACTAAAACACGTTTTGATTGGGTGAATTTGCTAGATAGTAGCAAATTTTGATTTCGGGATCAAATAAAAACATAGGTTTTGAGACTCGCATGCAAATTGTATAATTGCTGGCCAGTATGAGAGATGTTTTAGAAGAAACCGGCTATATTCAATAGATCCATTACTTCAAAAACGGGTATTTGTAGCCAAACCAGGTAATTCATGAAGCATTTTTTGATCTAATATGGGAATTTAGGGCCCATTTTACACAAACCATATAATTTTTTTCTAATTTGAGAGATATTTTTGAAGACAGCGGCGGTTTCCATTAGGTCCATTATGTTAGAAACGCCTCCTGATCGAATGAGCTCCGAAGAGCAAATTTTGCTCCAAGCGTGTCAATAGTAAAATCGAGCCTAAAGGCCACCTGCCACGATACAAAATTTTGTCCATAGTTTGGTACCAAATTTATGAGAAAATGCGTTACCAAGTTTAGTTCCCAATTTGTTTGCAAATTACAATCCTGTCCGTCATGTAAAGTTTTGTAACAAATTCGTATGAAATCGTGCGCAGTCGGTAGAAAAAGACTATAACTGTCAACTTCGAACTTGCCATTTATCATGTTTAAGTCATACTAATCATACTTTTCGTTGCGACTTGCTGCTTTATTACTTTAAACGAATAGAAAACTGTAGAAAATGGAGTGATCTCGTAATTCGAATATACAGGGTGCGGCAGAGAGGATGGACGGTTTTAAAAAAATCATAAAATAGTTAATTTTTACTCGAAAACAAATTTATTGATGGAATGAGGTTCACAAGGAAATAGCATTTGAGACAGTCAAGTGTGGAAAATCACATTGTGCGTGTGGTGGGCGAAATCGTTGATGCAGTGCTGGAGGCGTTCTTGGAAGTTCGCGTAGACTCTATCCAACATCGCTCTCTCAACTTGGGCGACTTCCACGCGAATTTCGCCCTTCAATTCGTCCAGAGTTCGGGGCTTGTTCGCGTATACTCTAGCCTTGAGGTGTCCCCATAAGAAAAAACCGCATATGGATAAATCTATATAGCTGCATAGCGTGCATAATCTCCGGGTGTGTAACTGTTGCACAATGGTCAATTTGTAGGGGTGAAAGCGGAGATCCATATGCAAAATTCGCCTTACCGAACGATCACTAAGGCGAAGTGCAGCAGCATGTTTCCGGGCAGATCGAGTCGGACTGCGAATAAAGACCTGTCGAACGCGTTCAACATTTTCAGGAGTTCGAACTGTTCGCGGCGCTCCTAATTGGTCTTCTGTTGATCAGTGCACCACGCCTGCGAAGTGATTCAACCCAACGATGGATGGTGTTTCGAGAGGGAACAGCTCTATTCCGATGAATGTTGTGGCGACGAAAACTCACGCTGTACGACGATGACTGACTCATTATTTCGGACGAAACAATCATAGGCGAAAACGCGGTGTTCCACCGTCCAAAGCTCCATAACGACAACTGGTAAAATAATGCTAGGATCTCACGAGTCAAACGCACCCTCCCCACCTCTCTCGTAGGCGCAGGCGGAGAGTACTACCCATCCCAAAAACGTCCGTCCTCTCTGCCGCACCCTGTATAATATGCGACCGTGGGACCACCGATCTGCGTTGTAGCTGCCCACCTCATGAAAAGTATACGAAATCGTAAAATAATTTGATGTAGAAAATGGATCAGGGAGAGGGACCGGGGAATGGATGTGCTTCCTGATGCTGAATAAAGGACCTCTAATGGAGGATCAACTGACTTATGGGCCTAATTGGTTCTAAGGTCATTTTGCTTTTATCCGACGCTGCTTATTTAACGTTTCTGTCGTTATAGGCCTTGCTTTTTATTTACAGCATATAAACAATCATATTTCTCATACTTGTTTAGTTGTATGTCACACTGCTCTTTTGATCGAGTTTTTCAATCTACAAGTAGTACAACAGCTTTTTTAAAGCGTAAAAATCCTTCTATAACTAGGAGTTGCGATCACGGTTCCGATCTTGTCATTTTTAAACTAGCGTAGCATTTTTTATGATAGGTCACAATATCTTTTATCAGTATTGAAGATCTCGACAACGTTTCTCTTTTGCAGGACTGATGAGCCTTGTGGGCAGTGAGTCTGGGGTGCCCCTGGTAGGGCCCGGCTCGCCCCCTGGAGGAGATGCCCATCTGGTTGGTCGTTCTGGCCTGCTGGAGACCTTCGTGCGTGGCTCTTGGTGAGTATGTCAACCTGCAGAAAAAGTGTGGTAGATTTTGGAATGAAAAGTTAACTACTCATCCTTACACTCATTCAATATATTGACAGAGAGGTGGTATCGGATAGCCAAATATCCAAAGCCGTTTTGTATATCACGAAATAAGCGGAAACCAGAAGGCACTGCTTTTGGAGAATACGATAACCACTGCAATACTTCCCAACCAAAGCTTGGCATTTAATTCTTTGAACCGAATCTTTTGACTTTCTATCTCTGTAACTGTGACCAACCGCATACAACGTTGTTTCGTTCGTATTATTATAGTATAAGTCTAATCGTGTGGAGACAGCCAATCGGAAAGCAAGCAAGCGTGCATGGTCGACTCAAAAAGTCTGCACTGAATGCCAGTTAACGTTCGATGGATTGATAGATGTCGCCCACTATCATTGAAATGATGACGCGTCACATGTGGTGTATGGCTATGGTTACAATATTCTGATTTTTTGATGGTGAACGATTCTTCTGTACTAAGTACAATGATTCTCAAGAGTTTATTTTTTCACCCTGCTGAATTAACTTGGCACAAAGTATCACCTTCCGTAGGATCAGATTGGGTTTCGTCACTGGTGGTGCTTGGCCAAACGGCCTGGAGTGCGTTGCGACGCAGATGTGAAATATTATAAAATTGTGGATTAGCAGGACCTGCGGAAAAACACTATTGAAACAGCTAACTATTCTCGGATACCGAAAAGGAAGAGAGCAGCAAAACACATCGCACCCCATTGCCACCGCGACATCTCTTTGATTAGGGTGTGACTTTGTCAATGTAATGCCAGCTTTTCGGTACCAGACTATAGGGCAGTGGTCGCCAACCTTTTATGTAATTATACACAGTTGTATGCGACAGACATGTGTTTATTTTACTAATACTAATACTTACTAATAAACTTAAATAAATTAATAACTAATACATACTACATAACTAAATCCATTCCTACCAATGGTAGGTGTTTGAAAAATAAACAAAATCTTTCGTCAGCTACAATGGCATGTCACATACAATTTAATAAAGGTAACTACAAATAAAAAAAGCAACGCACTATTTTAAACAAAAACATGTGTAAATAAAAAATTTGGAGTATAATTTGTTACCGCTATTCAAATACAATTGCCCAAAGGTTCATCTGTAAGTCGATTACGGTATTTGTTTTTAGTAAACTTCATATTTGAAGAAGAAGATTCACACAAATAGGTTGAACTAAATTACACTTTCACTTTCAAGGCAATACGACATAAAACTGAATATTTATCTTTACTTACTGAAGGCCAGATACATTTTGTATTTGAGACTAATGATTTTAAACTTAAATCATTTTGAAACGCAATCACTTCCATTTCTGTCGCAGCGATGTCTTCGCTAAAATTCTGCGTAGCAGAAGTTGTAAACTGTCGGAATATCAATTTCTATCAAGAGTGAAACAACAAATTGCGCCACTATAGCAATTTCTTGGAAATCCTTGAAATGATTTTTGAAGTTATCCTTCAAGTTAGATACTATTTCTAGATAATATTTACTGTCATATGGTTCTAATAACTTTGAGATATCTTTTCTGAAAGGACAGTAAAATGGTATCGCAACCGATTAAGTTTTGTTCCCAAAACTCAAGCTTTTTGATAAACGCTTTTATATCAGAAACAATAGGAAGGTTCGACATTTCTCGTATTTCTCTTGTCTTAATTAAAATCGAGGGATTTTGTTATTAAAAAACGGTCAAAGAAATTTGACTGCAAAATATCAATATTTACGTCGACGGAAAGCATTTTAAAATCAAGGATCGACGCGAGGCTAGAAAATGTACATGTACGCGAGACTAGACCGCGTGACGTCAGTAGCCAGACACGTGTAGAATGACTACGATCTCGGCAGTAGGCTAGTCAGCTTCGCTGTCACTACTTTCAGTACTGCTTCAACTGGCTTCATACGAATCAGATTCTGATGTTTCTGTTATTGCGGGACTTTCAAGATTTGCCCGTTCACTTTCCACTTGCAAACGTTTTTTTGGTCGCTCTAAAATCTGTTTAGCAAGCGCAGGAATTCTTATTAACGATACAGCGACATCCATTACTTTCCGTTTTTGCGAGATTTGAACTGACTTGCTTCTAAAATGTACCTGTTTGGTTTGGCATGCCTTGTCACATACCTGTGACTGAACTTCTACTGTTAAAGGTTCAGGCAGTTCACCATGCTCCTCCTCAATAACTTCCACGCCTTCAAGCTCGGACTTTTCGATTGAGGGTCCCGCCCGGCGTGCCGCCGCTGGCTGCAAATATTTGGCGATGTCTTTCTGCCTTGCCCTTTATTCGCTGAACAGTCGTTTCGTAGAGCTTAATTGTCTACCCAGTTGACATACTCCAAACCGATTACTGGGGCATTGTTGTGAGAATGGTAAATGCAGCGGGCCAGCTAACGACGTGTGTCTGGCTACTGACGTCACGCGGTCTAGTCTCGCGCACAGGTACGTTTTCCAGCCTCGCGCCGATCCTTGATTTTGTAATGCTTTTAGTCTACGTAAATATCAGTATTCTTTGCTCAATTTTTTTATCGTTTTCTAATAACAAGATCTCTCGATTTGAGTAAAAATCAAAAAACGGCGAACCTTCCTATTTCTGCTAGTTATTTGTCTCTTCCCTGAAGCTGCAAATTAGGTTTATTCAATTTTTCTGTAATATCTTCAAGAAGACCAAAATCTCTAAGCCAGATTGAATTTTCCAGTTTGGGAATCGGTTCGTCACGTTGTTTGAAAAATTGAACTATGGCAGACATGATATCATTAAAACGTTTCAGCACTCGTCCCCTTACTTAACTCTGAGACTTCAGAGCGAAGAAGCAGTTCCCCGTATTGACAGTCAATTTCGTCGGCCAAGGTCTTGAATAAACTTCTTTGTAACGCTGGAGCTCTAATCTTGATCACATTTTTTACCACCAATTTCATAACGTTGTTTAGTTTTAGAAAATGTCCACATAATGCTTGCTGATGGATAATGCAGTGGTAATAGAGAAATTGCGGAAAACTTTAACGACATAACTCCACTAGAGACCCGTATCACGGCCCACTATAGCTGGAGCGCCATCAGTTGTCAACCCATTTTCGATATTTAAATTTGCTCAGAAATGATATTTTTAAAAGAAGAAAACAAGTTCTGCCCAGTAGTCTGTCTTTTTAGTGGAATAAACTTCAAAAGATCTTCTTTAATCGTAAAATCATTAAAAACCATCCTGAGGAACACGGTCATCTGAGAGGTGTCAACGACATCTGTGGATTCATCCAGCTGCAGTGAAAAATAAACACAGTTATCGAAGTCATTTCTTAGCTGTAAAACTATATAATTGTTCATTACTGTATAAACAGAAAGTTGCATAGATTTTATAGCAGACGCTATCTGGTCTTTGTTTCTAAAGTTGGTAAATAATGAAACTGCAGCTTCTAAAAACGCATGTTTTATCATTTCCCCGTCTTCATAAGGTTTCTTCTTTTGTGTATCTGGGACACCCGGTATGATGTTTCAGTTGCAGCTTTACTTTTGTCGATTGTTTTTAAAAGCATTATCTGTTGTCCAATTAACTGATTTTTTAATTGTTTCAGTTTTCCGTTCTGGTTGCAGAACGTAATGGGAATGATTTTTCAAAATTGGAATGTACAGTTTTATAGTGCCTCTCGATTTTCCCCTTTTTAGCAACGGAACCAGATGTATTACATAGCAAACATACATTTTTACCCTCAACTTCTATAAAGGGATATTGCTCTTCCCATTCCGAATGAAAATAGTATGTCTTCATCTTCTTACTACTGCTCATAGTGTTTTTAATTGCATGCCAACTCTAACCCAACCGCTGGACTTTGTGCCGTTCAGCTTTAAACTGAGCGCACTGTCGCCGCGCCTTGCGTATTTATTCCGTTCAAAGTAATCGAGATCGTTCTCGAACAGATCGCTCACCGCAGTGTTGCCACTTCTCGTGTTTATTATGAGAATTTACAAAATTTACGAAAGCTTCTATGATTCTTACACCTTTTTAAAATAAGTTGTGAGCCACCAGAATTGCCTTTGCGAGAAGCTCGCGATCGACGGGTTGGCGACCACTGTTATAGGGTTATCTTATAGCTGGTCACAGGGCCGTCTTAACCTATGTTTTGGCCTCTAAGCATAGACAAATCTGGGACCCTATTTTGCTGTTAGTTAACATTGAAGAACAGGAGGGGGTACTGAGACATTTAGGTTTTTGGGCATTTGAGGCCCTCATCAAGCCTGGGTCTGGAGCTCTTGGTCCATAGGTTTAAGACAAAAAATGGTGACCAACTGCGCTGCGGCTGGGGGAGGCCTCCCAGGGGTGTCTTACGGTGGTAGATGCGGTGATGATGAAATACGAAAACAGAAAATAATGCGCACGTGTACGGACAAAATATAAGAAAAGAAAGTTACGCAGACACTAGGTCCACGTCAGGATTCCCACCGCTTAACCTCATTATAGACAACCCATTTTTATCTCCAGTAATAATGCTATCAAAAATAGATTCAAAAAGCTCAATTTTAGTAACACGCCATATATCAAGAATCAATTGATAGCTTCGATTTGATTAGTGTCTGACATACGAGACATCGACTTTTTTCACCATGCCAACTTTTTTTAAACAATTGTAAGGTCGCTGGCCTTACGACTTAACCCCCATCCTTGGAGGACCGAATTTTCTGTTGGTGTTCATTCTCCTAGCTGATATGTTCCAGTTTTTAGGCGCCAGAAATCCGCCTTCATCCTGTCGTCTGCTACATAACGCACACCCGTTGTACGCCATGTACCCAGGCTTTACGCGAGATGTTATGTTTTCCAACTCATTCTTTGGAAAACAGTGGGCTTTTCTCAGTTTTTTTACGACAAAAGCATCGGCAGCTTCATGTCGCCTCCAAGACCCTTTACCAGCCCGTAACCAGCGATTTTAAAATATACCCCCTGAAATATAATTGATCCATAAACCTACACGAAAAAAACATTTAAGGTAAAACTTAAAAAAGAGCTGCTTTTCGACAACTACATCAGGAAGGTGCTCACATATTCCCGAATCGTGTTTTTCATGAAATGGGACAATTCTATTGTTCACCTGATTAATCTGCATGTGGCCGTACTAGCTAGCTTCGTGCATTCTTCCCAAGCTCTTCTACGTCTCTCACATGCTGGGCGAAAACTAATTTTTTCCTTTTTACATAGTTTGAGGTTGGAAGTTTAAATCATGTTTTAAAGATTCAAATTACATCCATTTTTGGTTCAAGTACTCAAGTTACTGGATTTAATATGAACCACAACCCTTTTAAGTTCTATTTCGTTTTATTCAATTTCAAAGACAAACAAGCCGAAATTTTTTATCGAAACATCTGTTTGCCAAGATTTGTTAGGTCCGAAGCTCCAAATAATTATGGTCACTAGGCGGTACTGACGTCGCACACTCAGCGAATATACACATATGTCAATAGATATTGAAGCCTTGTAGTTGACGACATTGTTTAGATATTTTATAAACCAGACAAAATTTTGATTTTAGATAGAGGCAATTCGTAGATATATTAGCTATCTAGGAACTCAGCTTACCTCGTATTACGGATCATCAAAGTGTTACTTTGTATCTGTGGACATGGGAAGCAACTCATTAATTTTCCAGGTACCGCGTCCATGTAGCCCTCGAAGAGGATTGTTTGAGCATTACATTGGATGAGCAGTGTGAGAACACGACCACCTTAAACGGCAATTCCATCAACAATAACGTAGAGACACCAGGAGCACTCAGCGATACACCTGATGTGCCTGATTCCGTTGCCAATCAAAAAAGACTTGTAAGGGTAAGCACATTTTGAATTCCTTATCTATTTATTGCATGAACGTAAGCAAAGTTTGTTTAATGCATATTAATGTAATGCTTTAGGTGATGTGAAATAATATCGTTCCACCCTCATACTCAAATTATGAATTCTTGGGAGTCGGTCATTTTGAAACATTTATAAGATAAAATACAACGTTTCGGCGACTTTAAACACCATCTTTAGACACGTGTAATTTTCTAAAATTAAACTAAAGTATCAAAAATTGCAACACAAAACCCGTTGTAATTTTCTTCAAAAGGTGTAAAATCAATATATAAGGAGATTTACTAGTTGGTAAAAAATAATCACATTTCTGCCAGACGATAAATATTTGCTAATAAAAATGAAAACAAAAGAAAAGTAAAAAACATATATATACAAATATAAGCTACTTAAAAAATTAAGGGAGCAAGAAAAAAATCCAATTTTTTCGGTTATTTTTGATAGTCTGTATTTTGGTGAAAAATGCTCTTATCTTGACTTTCAAAAAAGCATTTTAGAGTTTCAACACTTCAGTTTTCAGGTTTTTCACCCGAAACAGTTCTCATGCAATTCTAGCAGATTGCACATGCAACATTTTTTTGCAGAAACCCTCCAATAATATTTTTTTTATCCGCCTCTGGTCGATATATTTGTTTTTTGGATTATTCCTCGAATAAAAGAATAAAATGTTGCCAATTGCTTTTTTAAAATTGAAGGTGTTCCAAATATCCAATAGTGACAACAAAAGAAGAAAAATGTTTTTTCCATGTTCAACCAGATTACAGGACGTTTTGATTTCTTTCAAATTTTGACCAATCGGTCCGGAAAAGCCGTACAATGGATCGATCTGCCGTCATGCAGGGTTATTAGGGGTACATTGAGGTACATGAAAAACCTAAAACCAATTAGCCTCGTCGGTACAAGTCCCAAAAATGCAGTCGATTTTCGAAGACCAGACAATAGTGCCTTTCTTACTTTTTTTTAAATAAACACTAAGGAAAAAATCCTCAAAGATTGCAATCAGATCCTATAGGTTTATTCCAGTTTTGGGAGATACCCTTGCATTTTCTGTGCGATCTCTGATTACCGAGATATCAGTGGTCGATGATAAAAGGATACGTTTTCATTTAAAGTCAGTGCCAAGTGATCAAATCAGGATTTCAGAAACAGGATATTGAAACTCAAGTTTTGCAAACATCTTTTATTGCGGTATCTGCTAGAATTGCATGAGAAACCATTGCTCCTAAAAATGCTTTTTTTAGAGAGTAGATTTTTCACTGAAATACAAACATCACCGAATAATTTGGATTTTTTCTTGCTCCTTTAATTTTTTCTTGTAATATTATCTTTCTGCATTGAGTGTGCGCTAAATCTAGATTAAATCAGATAAAATCCCCATACTTCTGTATTCGACTTAAAAAAAAATAATAATAATTAATCGTCTAATGGGTTAATACGATACTCGTCATTTCAAAGGTAGATTTACAAACTGTATCTTAAAAATAAAATATTTTCGGAGCCTAATCTTTAGGCATTTCCCTGACTGTTCCACTGTTGAGATTTTTAATACACTGAAGGTAGTGAGTTATTACACCTGACCTACTTCTTGCAGGTAGTAAAATCAGACAATAACGGTTTGGGGATATCGATAAAAGGCGGTAGGGAGAACAAGATGCCTATTTTGATTAGCAAGATTTTCAAAGGTATGGCGGCTGACCAGACGGAGCAGCTCTACGTGGGGGACGCAATTTTAGCTGTGAACGGGGATGACCTCAGGGAGGCGACGCACGACGAGGCTGTTAGGGCGCTGAAGAGAGCGGGAAAGGTCGTCGAGCTCGAAGGTACGTGTTTGTAACGTGTATTTTTGCAGACGTACGTAGTATTCAAGTGCATGGCTCCTTCACGAAGCGCTCGATATCTGTATGTTTTTTTTAATATTTGCATCCAGAGATGCTTTGATGTGCTGCTTTCAGCAGCTCTATGCAACTTCTGGTTAGATCGCTAATGGATATAAATTGAATAGATGGAGTTTATAAAAGCTTATACATGTTGCACGAAAGATACAATGTTTATCTAGGAATATTTGAGTTATTTGTTCAATTTCTGTAGTATATGGTTAACCCTTTCGGTACGGTTGCCGGATATACCCGACAGGAAGCAATATGGCCCTGCGGCCTGGTGACGGATATATCCGTTCAAGGTTATTTTGTTTAATGACACTTGTGCCGTTTATTTCCGACTCTTTTCACCGAGCGACTGCCGACGACTTTATCCGACGTATAACGCATTGTGGATGGCCTGCTGTCGGAATAACCCGTCAATGTCGGAAATATCCGACGGCAGTCGAGCATGGTAGCATGCCATGTACCATGTACCGTAAGCTTCAGAAGCGTCAGTTCGTTCGATCATGTCAAACGAGGAGGCCAGTTCGTCTCAGGGCACTAAGCGACCGAAAAGGCGTAAAGTAGATTGTAGCGGATATTGTGGTTTAACTGAGGAGGAAGTCAATAGTATTTTAAGTCTGGTAGATGAAGATATTTACTTGTCTGACGTTAGTGAAGAAGACCCCTTTCTCGATAGCGGAAGCGAATATTGTCCATCTTCTGAGGACTCTGAGAGCGATCTGGATGAATTGGAACCGGAAAATGAACAAGAAAATCAGCAGGAAGAGGTATGAAACGTTGAAGATAATATTACTCACCAAACAGTTCTGGAAATAATTTGGACAAAAAATGAGTTTCTACCGAAAATACATGAATTTGACACGACCAATAGCGGTGTAAAAGACCAAAACCTCGACGAAAACTCAAAGGAAGTCGACTATTTTCTTAGTTTGTTCACAGAAAACATAGTGGATGTTATTTTGGATGAAACAAATAATTATGCACGCCAACAAAATGCAAAAAACTGGAAGCATTTAGAACGTTCCGAATTTTACGTTTTTCTGGCTTTGACGTTGCTTATGCCTCGCAATAAAAAAGTGAACTTGAAGGAATATTGGTCCCAAAACCACTTACTGCTTTCACCTGCATTTAGCAAACATATGTCAAGGGACAGGTATTTTCAATTACAAAGATATTTGCATTTCTCCAATAATGACATCTCGCCACCTGGTAATAGATTGTTCAAAGTTGAGAACGTGCTAAATATATTGAAAGAAAATTTCCAGTCTCAATTCTGTCCATTTCAAAATTTGGTTATAGATGAGAGTATGATTCTTTTTAAAGGAAGACTCAGTTTTAAACAGTATATCAAGACCAAGAAACATCGTTTTGGAATTAAACTCTACGTGTTGTGTGATTGCGAAACAGGAATTGTCTTAGACTTTATAATATATTGTGGAAAAGAGACTAATATAAAAGCAGAAGACAAGAATAATCTTGGTACTACAGGGGCCGTTGTTGCAAAACTTTTAGAGCCATACCTCAACAAGGGACATTCTCTTTATACGGATAATTTTTACACCAGCCCTACACTTTCAACTTTTTTGTTACAACATAAAACAAACTCCTGTGGAACTGCAAGGCAAACTAGGAAACATATGCCAGTATTTGATAAAAAATTAAAACAAGGAGATACTGACTGGAGAAGTAGTGAAAATTTATTGGCAATAAAATGGAAAGATCGGCGGGATGTTGTGATGCTGACCAGTATGCATGAAAATAGAATGGTTACTTTGCCGAAAATAAATCGATCTACATATGAAAATGTAATAAAGCCGTTATGTGTTCTGGAATACAACCGTCAAATGGGGGCTGTCGACAGATCAGATATGATGCTGAGTAGCGTAGATTGCACTCGAAAATGGCTGAAATGGTATAAGAAGTTATTTTTCCATTCGATTGACATAACATTCCTAAACGCACATGCAATGTTTTCCACAAGACATACTAAGAAGACTTCATTCGCCAATTTTCATCTAGCGGTTATTGCTCAACTTATAGAAAGGTAAAGATTTCTTTGTAGTTTTCGATCATATTTGCTAAATGCTTTTTTTTGCAGGTATGGCATAGTAAAATCTATACATTGCGATTTGGGCAATGCCAGGCTTCAGAATAGACACTTTCCGGTGTCAGTTCCACGAAAACCAGGCAGTACTAAGGTTGGATCCAGAAGATGTTGGGTTTGTTCCCATACAAAGCAGAAGCAAGCAAAAAGAAAAGAGTCCAGCTATATGTGCCCAGAATGTGACGTTGGATTATGCGTGGTCCCTTGCTTCAAAATATATCACACAGAGGCTACTTTTTAATGTTTAATGTTCTAATGTTTAATGTGTTTATGTTTTCTGTAACTTTATCTAATAAAATAATTGTTTTAATATAACTTGCTCATATTATTTCATAAAATGTGGGTAGTTTTCTTAGGTGACGGATATTTCCGACGGCAGGCCAATGACCAATGTAAAAGTCTCAGGCCGTAGGAATAAAAATGTTCAGTGACAAGCCGTACCGAAAGGGTTAACAGACATTTTTTTAAATCTTTCAAGGTCATAAAATTGTCAATTTATTGGATCGTGTAAAGAGACTATAGTTTATTCACTGAATCAAAGCAGCTTCGTCACAACATCAAATAATGACAGTGGCGCACATGGTTGCCATTCATTAAAACTACTATATCCTAGGACGTTTTAAAAAATCTACTTTATGCCTTCGATGCCTTACCGCAACCAACATTACGGAGCGTATGTTTTGTAAACACTAGAGCTAGTATAAATTCTATTTACTACCTAATACCTCTTTTACGGACTGTAAAGGCAATAATGTCGTTCGGTCTCAAAATATTTCGTCAAAGAAGTGACGAATTCTTTTGTTTGTCGACCCAGAGGTTCCGGCAAAAAACTGTTTTCATAAAATAACAGTGCAAATATTGAGGCAAAAAGAACGGAAATAAACCACAAATAAACAACAGCCGTTGGCGTAATTACGTGAGAAGCTTTGCGACAATGTCACAACACAGAAAACTGTTACCAACATAAATGTACCCGGGAAATTCAAACTATACGTACCAATTTAGGATCTATTTGGCATTCAAATTTACGAAATATGACGAAACTACTTTATTTCAATAAATAAACTATATAAGTGTATTACTCAGCTGTACGACCATGAAAAAACTGAATTGAGTTTTGGAAACACACGAACGGCGTAAGCATCACATAAATACGCTTCATCCTTCTAAGTGTTGCAAGTTTGAGACTTTTTTTAACCTAATCTGTACATTAATTTATTTGTATTTTGTCAATATTCTGTCATGAAAATCTTTTTCTTGAAACATCCATGTGTTACTACGAGTAGAGGAACCGACTACAAATTTTTGGGCTACATCGCGTACTGGGATCATATAAAAACTAATCCAATGTTACACATTTCGATGCTAAAAATCAGGTCAAGTCTAAAAATGGTGCCCAGCCGCCATTATGAAATGTTCAACTACCACTTTCCAATATGGCTTTCATGCATTTATTTCAGTTCCCCAAATTTCGGTTCACTAACTTGACCCGTTGAGGAAGTAGGTAAAGTGGGATCTTATTGAAGACACTATACAGGGTGTCCGCAAAAGTTGGGGTTTTCCTTTACACGACGAGTAGATCTTGAGAAATAAACAGATTTTCTTAGTAGCAGATACACTAATTTCTTAAGAGAACCGAGATATTGGGCTCCGCAAACTCAATCAAACCTGAAACAAACCGAAGCCGGTTCTGTCCTATTCCTTGATCACGTCCACAGCATCAGCGTACGGTTATACGACGTACGACTACGATGTAAGTACGGATTTTACGACAGAGCCGTACTTGGAAATTCAATTCAATTGAACAGTGAGTACTTTTCCATTTATTTTTTTTACTTGTTCACTCACGTTTCAACACACATTAGCTTTGTTATGTCAAGCGTAGTTGTGTCTGAAAAGGAAAACCCCAACTTTGCGGACACCGTGTATACGTGTTTTCATTTGGCCAGGCGGAGCGGATTGATAAAACTATGACAAGTTTGTTTCTGGTTATATTTTCAATTGTCAAGTCAATGCCACCTGCTGTTGAAAAGCGCAAGTTACAACTGCGCCTACGCTTATTTCGGTGCACGATGAAGTTTCATGTAATTTTATTATGGAACAGCAGAATTTCATTTTTTTTTAATTAATCACACCGCTTGCTCAATATTTAGGCTGGAATTTGCAAATAGCGTAAGATTGGGCTAGTTTTTATATCATGTCAGTACGCGAGGTAACCAAAAATTTGCGGTTGTCTGTTGGACTAGGTATATGTATATACTGCGTTGTTCAGATAAACGCAACCAATATGTGTACACTCATGTGTATTCTGCGGTGAGCGTATTTCTGCGTCAGTTCTGTAACAGACTTAAGGCCGGATTACGTGCCTACCGCTTACACTGCTTGGTATCTAAGCTAGATGTGGCGGTAATCCTGATCCATGTACACACGCTGCTTTCTGTCACGAAATGTTGGGATGTGCTAAAACCGGGTGAGAACATGGAATAAGGACAATAGCGTCGTAAAGTCTTTCAAACGAAACTTTGTTACAAAATCCTGGACCTATTTAAATGATCACTGCAAAATGATACTAAAGGGTGGGCCAGCAGTTGTTTTTTTAAGTTGGTATTATTTTGACAGTTGGTAACACTTCCATGCTCAACATATTGTCAGATATATTGTGTCAAACTTCCATTGTGAGCAATGGATCGTTTTAATATTGAACAAAGGTGGGAAATATTGAAAATATATTTTCAAAGTGAGTGTTGATGTTGCAGAAACTCACACACTCACACGAAAATCGAGAAGACTATTTGGTCGGAATGAAGCTCCGTCCGCGACTGATATACGAAAATTCGTGAAGAAGGTTCGCGAAACCTGCTTGTGGATGACAGAAGGTATGAGCGTGTTCGACCCGTACGTACAGCCGAAAACATTGCTGCTGTTGCCCAGAGTGTGCGTAAAGACGCAAGAATGTCAACTCATCACAGAGTACAACAAGTGTGCATCAGTGGCACTTCTGTGCGGAGAATATTGCATTACGGCCTGGGATTATTTCCTTACAAGGTGCAACTTGTGCAGGAGTTGAAACAAAATGTCCATCCGCTTCGATATCGTTGTGTGGGCTCTAAATCAATTGGAAACGTACCTCAACGTAACTGTTTGGAGTGGTGCGATTATTGGTCCCTACTTTTTTCAAGATGAAGATGGTAACAGCGTGACGGTATAGAGACATGTTGAAGAGTTTTTTGTGGCCACTCTTAGACGACATACACGTGCACCATCTCTGGTTCCAGCAGGATGGCGCAACATGCCACACCAGCCGTGAAACAATCGATCTTTTACAACACTAAGTTCGGTCATCGCTTTATCAACCGTTTTGGGGACGTTCATTGGCCAGCCCGAGGTTGTGATTTGATGCCCATGATTTACTTTCTGTAGGGTACTGTTAAAGACCGCTGTTACAGTAACGATCCTCAAACAATTGATGTTCTTAAGGAAAATATCGGTCGAGCTATTGATGAAATAGGCCCATACAGTATCGAAAATGTGCTTAAAAATTGGGTTAGGCCAGCCGCGGCAGCCATTTAACTGAAATTGTTTTTCATAAATAATCGGAAAGGGTATCCTTTTGAATAAAGTATCGAGTGTTACATATCATTGAAGAGTGTAGTTTTAATACCGATTTAAAAAAGAAACGAACGGATGGCTCATCCTTTGACATTGATTGGTACTTCATTATGCCTGAGATTGATGCATTTGTCTATGATTACGAATGTGAACCATACCAAATTTCACAGATTTATTTAATTATGATGCTTAATTTGGAACTGATATAAACAGAGTATTCATTTGAAAACTTCCCACCACGGATTTATCGAAAACCACCGATTAAAAGAAAAACGCCGAGACACTTCAAAAGGTTTGTCAAGGCGGACAACTTTTTAACCAAAAACTACTTCCCCTCGGCCCCCAGGGTCATTCCCTTAAACATTTTAAATGACAAGGAGTATCGAGTAATAGCTTGTTTGAAAGGTTTGTCGAAGTCCTGTATGTCGACGATTGACTTTTTAAAATCAATCGATTGGTTTTCGAGAAAATTCGGAAGATTAGATGTGGCAACAACCGAATAACAACCCGAATTTCCGCATTATTTTCATCATCACATATCCTGGGCGAACTGTATTTATTGTTATACCTGCTTAGTTATTTGTTGCTAAGGGAAAGAAAGAATTTAATTTGCTGTCAGTTACCTTTGTGACATCTTGGTATAGTGAAAATTAATTTAGTAATTCAGATTTTACTTCCAAAATGGTTTACACGCTAGCCGAGATTGGAAATGATTCTAATTTATGGTGCCCAAAATTAATGTGCTCGGCAAACTGGGAAGACAACTTAGCATGGGTATGTTTTGGACCTTGTTAGTAAATTTACTCAAACTGGATCTGTTGCCAATAAAAAACGTGATCATCAGAGAGTTTTGGATGAAGCCGCTCAAGGTGAAGTTTTGGGTCATTTTAGAATAAGTCTTTATTACGCAATATTGTTGCTACGACTGGTATTTCATTACACACAGTTACTAAACTCCATGAATTTTATCCATTCAAAATGAAAATATTTCAAGAGTTAACCGAAAATGATTTCGATAGGCGAGTTGAGTTTTGTGAACAAATGACCAAAGCGATTAATGATAATGCCATTCATGTAAAGAATATCTGCTTCAGTGATGAATGCACATTTTGTCTAAATGTATTTGTTAATAAGCATAACTGCAGGTATTGGAGCAATGAAAATCCTCATTTTTTTTGTAGGAGGACACACAGTATCCCCAAAAAATTAAATGTAATGGCAGGCATTTTAGGAAACAAAGTGTTTGGGCCATTGTTTATTAATTGAAATTTGAATGGAGACATTTATTTGGATATGTTGGAAAATACCATTAATCCACTTATGACTGAAACCATTGAAAACTAAATCAAAGAGGATGGAAACCCTATAACTGCTGAGGCTGAAATATATTTCCAGCAAGACGGCGCTTCTCCTCACTATGTTCTTTCGGTTCGGCATCGGCTAAACGACGAGTTTCCAGGTAAATGGATAGGGCGAAGAGGGCTGATAGAATAGCCTGCTAGATCTCCTGATTTGACGCTATTAGACTTTTTTCCAGGGTGCCATTTGAAATCTATTGTGTTAACTCCCCATCCTGAAAATTTGGATGTACTTGGTCAACGCATCATCGAAAGCTGAAATGATATCCCACAA